GTGTACCACCCAACCCCAAATTAATATGATATTGTTCGCTTTGGACCAAGCCCTCACGGATTTTTTTTTGGGCACCTCCCAAAAGGCCTCATACTAATGGATTGGGTTTGAACCATTATATTTTGGTTCCTCTTCTCTTTTTTATTTGATGTGGGACTTGGGAGGATATCCCAACAAACCTCCCCTCAAACCAAGGACCACACAAATCGTGACCTCCCCTCCAGGGATAATCTGAAGGACCACACAAATCGTGACCTGCCCCTCCAGGGATAATCTGCACCCACATCTCTATCTTGTACCGCCGCTACAACTTTGCGGGACACGCCGCCCGACCTCCTCTTGTCGGGAAGACTTTCGACACAAGGCACCACTTGCAGATCTTCTTTCGGTCTTGGTCCTGTTGTTACAGGGTCACACCGAAATTTTCTCACACTACGCAGTCCGCTGCTCACGCCCGCTCCAAACATGGGCTCTGATACCAGTTGATGGGACTGCGCGTACCACCCAACCCCAAATTAGTATGATACTGTCCGGTTTGGGCCAAGCCCTCACGGATTTGTTTTTGGGCACCTCCCAAAACTCCACAACAGAATGCAGTTGCAGAGAAAATGAACAGGACCATTATTGAAAGGGTTAGATGTATGCTCTCTCATGCTAAACTTCTGAAAACCTTTTGGGCTGAAGCAATGAATGCTGCAGTTTACTTGATCAACCTTTCACCTTCAACCTCCCTCAACGGAGATGTACCAAAAAAGGTGTGGTCAGGGAAAAATATATCTTACGATCATCTTAGAATATTTGGCTGCAGGGCTTTTGTTCATGTTCCAAAAGATGAAAGATCCAAGCTTGATTCGAAGTCAAAACAGTGTATCTTCTTGGGTTATGGAAATGATGATTTTGGGTACAGATTATGGGATCTAGTCGAAAAGAAGCTCATCAGAAGCAGAGATGTCGTATTCCTAGAAGACCAAACCATTTTGGGTACAGATTATGGGATCCAGTTGAAAAGAAGCTCATCAGAAGCAGAGATGTCGTATTCCTGGAAGACCAAACCATTGAAGACTTTGAGAAAAATGAACAGCCAAAGTCCATCAATGAGTTTCCTGTTAGTCTTGATGCAAAACCTCGTATAGAACCACAAAATGGTGAAGAAGATGATGATGAAACTATTCAGAATGATGCTGAACCAGCTCCAATAGAAGAACTGCCTCAATTGAGAAGATCTGCAAGAGGCAGGATACCTTCCCAGAGATATTCTCCTAATGAGTATGACTTTTGTTGACTCAAAGGGGGAGAACAAGAGGAGGAATCTACCAGGAGGACAAATTGGATAGAATTGTTAAATGACAGAAGAATGGTGGAGAGGGCCCTGCAACGATGAGATGGAGGTCCTTGCACAATGAGAATGGACTTAATGAGTTGGTGAAACTGCCCTCAAGGTAAGGAAAGGCAATTGAAAACCAAATGGCTGTGTTCAGGGTTGAAAGACATGAACATGAACAAGCTTCCGGGCCCAATGGTAAATGGGACAAGAACTGGTTGTGAAGGGAATATGCTCGGGTCAGAACAGAACAACTCACAGCCAAGGTACAAGGCAAGACTGGTTGTGAAGGGATTCGGTCAGAAGAAAGGAGTTGACTTTGAAGAAATTTTCTCACCCGTGGTCAAGATGTCTTCTATCAGAGTTGTGCTCGGTTTAGCAGCTAGCTTGAATTTGCAGATCGAGCAACTTGATGTAAAGATCGCTTTCCTCCATGGTGACTTAGAGGAGGAAATTTATATGGAGCAGCCAAAAGGGTTCAGAGTCAAAGGCAAAGAACACTTGGTGTGTAAATTGCAGAAAAGCTTGTATGGCCTCAAACAAGCTCCCAAACAGTGGTACAAAAAGTTTGACTCTTTCATGGTAAATCACGGGTATGAGAAAACCACTTCTGATCATTGTGTATTTGTGAAGAAGTTCGTAGAAGGCGACTTTATTATTCTCTTGCTATATCTGGATGATATGCTTATTGTGGGCCAAGATGGCGCCAAAGATTGCTTAAGAAAATTGTGAGAGCTTGAAAAAAGGGCTTGAAAATCCTTGCCATGAAGGATTTGGGATCGGCCAAAAACAGATTCTCGAATGAAGATCTCTAGAGGACATGAAAAAAGAAAGTTGTCGCCTGTTCTCAAGAGAAGTACATTTGAGAAATTCTCAGTTAGATTCAATATTTGAGCAATGCCGAAAACCAGTTTGTTTACTCCACTTGCAGGTCATTTCAAATTAAGTTCTTAGGTGCAATGTCCTTCAATGAGAGAAAGAAAAAGAAGAAGTTGGAAGAGGATTTCCTATGCATCCGCCTTGGCAGCTTGATGTATGCCATCGGTATGCAACAAACCGGATATTGCCTCATGCTGTTGGTTGTTGTTTAGCCGATTTTCTTTCAAATCCAGGTTAAAAACACTTGGAAATGCGGTTGAAAGTGGATTCTCAGGTATCTTAAGGGCACTTCCAAAATCTGCTTAATATTTTTGGCTGAACAATAGGACCTGTTTAGATGGTTACACAGAGTTCGCGCAAAATCAAACTTCTGGATATCTGATGACCTTTGCAGAAGTAGCAGTTTCTTTGGCAATCGAAATTACAAAAATGTGGTTGCACTCTCATCCACTTGAGGCCAGAATATATTCGCCATTACAGAAGCTAGCAAAAGAACTCGTGTGGATGAGAATTCCTACAAGAATTGGGGTAGGAAAGCGCGATACATCTCAGCAAGAATTCGACCTTTTATTAAAGGTCAAAGCATATTGATGTGAGGTATCATTGGATACGTGATGCGCTGGAGATGAAGTTATTTCAGATTGAAAAGATTCACACTGATGATAATGGCGCTGATATGATGATTAAGGCTTTGCCTACGGAGAAGCTTGTCACTTGTAGAAAGATAGACGGTATGTCTAACGTCCCCACTTGAGTGTGCAGGGGGAGATTTGTTGTGCGGTGTCCACTTAGTGGGACCCACATTTGAAATAAATAATAAAAAAAAAAGAGAAGAAAGGAAAACGTGGTAGGACACACACACAAATGAAAAAGGAAAGAAGAAAATTGGAGAAATTTCTTTGGTAGGTGATCCGTTTTTCGGTGGACGCGTTAATCACTTATCCACCTCTCCTAATCAGGCTTCCACCTCTCCTATAAATAGGAGGTGGTGCTAGAGCTTCAATACACCACAGCAAAATAAAACAGAGAGAGAGTTTAGAGAGTAGTTCAAGTTTTACAACTCTGTGTTCTAAAATCGGGTAGAGAAAATAGTGAGGATAATTTGGGGTGTTTTTGGGAAACACTTTTGAGCGCCACTATTTTTGTATTACTCTCTTTGTAAGCCTACTCTCTTTGTAAGCCTACTATTTTTAATAGTGGAAGAAATATTCGGTTTTTGTCCCGTGGACATAGCTCTAAACAGTTAAAGGGTAAACCACGTAAATATCTGTGTGTCATATGTCATATTTCTATTTTCGCAGTGTTATTATTCTCGTAATTTTATTGCCGGGCCCTAACAAGTGGTATCAGAGCCTGGTTACAATAATCTCAGCCCAGTTTCTGGGAGAGTACGGGTTGTTGCTCCTCCGACCCATGGCCCGATGTGTGAGGGGGAGATTGTTGGGTTATCCCACATCGGTTGTGGAAGGGGCTGTGTATGCAAGTTGTGGAAGGGGCTGGTTGCATCAAAGTTTTAGTTATTATGAAAGCCTTCACCCTCTTAAGCTAGCTTTTATGAGATTGTTGGGTTATCCCACATCGGTTGTGGAAGGGGCTGGTGATCAAGTTATAAGTGTGAGGGAAAGCCTCACCTCTTAAGCTAGCTTTTGGAGTTGAAAAGGCCCAAGATCACCTATTAAGTGCTAATGTAGATTGCTCTTATCTAATTGCCACATCAGAAAAATAGAAAGATTTGTTAAAAAATGCTTTCCAATGCTAATGTCTATTTGATATGTCTAATGCCTATTTGATATGTTGCCTACCACACCATCTATTTCTAGAGGGTCTATTAGACAATGTAGACATTGATTGCTCTATAGTAATTGATTGCATATTTATGGATCAGAAAAAGAAAAAGAAGAAAGAAGATGAAAGTAATGCACTGGAGAGAGATTTTTAAAATTCTACCTTTATAAATAGACATTCAGCCATATCATCATTCATACTTTTTATTCTATATGACACATCAACCACAATTCATATTAACATTAGAGATGCTTTAAAGTTGTTTACTGGCTTTCATGTTCTTCTTGCTCTCATTTGGCAATAGATTAAATATGTTAATTATCACAACTTACTTAAGATGTTTATGGTTGTCAATCTCATATTTTTATATTTTTTAAATTGTAATTTACTAATTCATGAATCCTTTCATAATCCGTTAATGTTTTGTTGGAATTTTTATGTTATTTATGAATTTCTTTTTTTAATCAATAATAATTTATAATCAATCTGCAGAATGTGCATCCTTTACCTAGTTCAACAGAACTATATTCTACTTTTCCAAAACTAACTTCCTTAAAATTTTACTTTCGAGAAAGTAAACTTCCTGAAAAGTAGGTTGATTTGAACCAAACGAGGTCTTAGATTTCAAAAGTTAAAATAAACTATAACAAAAGTTCTATATTTATTGATTTTGATTCATGAGTGCGGCTTTGAACCAGGTCTAAGTAAGTAAATCCCAATAAAATTGATGGTATAAATAATATTTTAAATATCATAAACAATATAAATAAAATATAAAATGATTAGCGTAATTTGGTGAAATTTATAGGTCAAATTTTCATGTGAACTAAACAAAGCATTTCAATCAGCGAGAGACGGTGAAAGAAATATAAATTATTACGAAAAGTGATATTCAATGTGCTACAAGATTGATTTTAAAATTGAGATGCCACAAAAAAAATTTTTTATTTTTTTTTGTCAACTCCATATATTAAAGTATGTATTCTGCCATTTTCTAAACAATGTAAAATATATGTATGCAATACTACAAATGTATAGTATGATTATGATGCATGTTATTTTACACATTTGCACTGTATACTCTATCAAATTTGAGAAAAGAAAGCAACAAACAAAAACCTCACACATCTGTCGTCTATTTGTTTTTAGCCCTCATATACTCACAGACTTAAAGCTGTGCAAAATGCTGAATAAAACTAACAACCAAGACCGCAAGAACCAAATAGCTTGGACCAACAGAGGTTGGGGTGGCTTCATTTGCACCATGATGGTGGTGATTATTCTGGCGATGACCCATAGCCCCAGCAGCATATAAAGGAACTACGGTTGCACCGTGGTCATTCCCAACATTACCATTACCTGAAGCCTCTCCACCGTGCGCGCCGCTTCCAGTTGAATGACCTCCTCCACCATGGCCACCGCCACCTCCCTTTCTGTCTACTGATACTACTCGCTTTATCCCTATTGAAACAGTTAGCTCTCCTGTCATCCCCTTATCTTCGCCAATTTTTTCATTTATAGCTTTTTGTTCCTGATGGAAGTCTGAAATTGTGGCGCCAAGTTAGATTATGCCCCTTTCAAAAGAGCACTAGTTCCACACGTACTGTTAGAGAAATAAATAACCAACACTTGTGGATTTTATTTTAAAAACTGAATTATTTTATTTTATTTTATTTTTGTTGCACACGCTGTTTCCACACTGCTTAAATAGTATTTAGATAAAATCCTTCCGACCCACTGTAAAAATTCCAAATTTGGATCTGAATCTTAATCTTATTGATAAAACTTAAATTATTCAATGTCCATAAAAAATGAGTTAGCAAATATTTTGAACCAACAAAAAGAAAATTATTTTAGTTAATAATTAATAATTATTTTGAACCAACAAAAAGAAAATTATTTTAGTTAATAATTAATAATTATATTACAAAGTACTATTGATAAACTGATATCAAACAAATCTAACATCATTAACCAATATAAAAATAAATCAATTCTCAAAATGATTTAATTTCTATAAAATAAAATTAGCTATACAAAAATTGAGGATTAGTAATATATATAATGTACAAAAATTTTGCTTTTTAAAAAATGTTTAAAATTTTGAACAACCAAAATTTAAATTTAAATGATTTAGTAAGATAGTGGATTATGCAAAATGAATGTTAAGGGTAAAAATTCTGATGTAAATGTTAAAATGAAAATTTTATAATAACTGATCAAAAAAGAAATAGATCAATATAATTAAAATTTTATTATACTTAAAAGGAAAAAGAAAAATTGAATTAAGCTAATTAAGTCAAAATTACAAAGAAAAAAGAATTAAAAGAAATATTAACCTAGCTATATATTTTGTTTTAAAAAAAAAAAATAGCTTTCAGTTGACTTGATCCAAACTGAATAAAATTTTTTTTTATCAAAAAAAAAAAAAAAAATGTGAGTGAGAGTAGAAGTGAGTCAAAAAGAATAGTATCAAATATAATTAAAAATTTTATTATACTTAAAAGGAGAAGAGAGAAGAGAGTGAAGTAAGCTAATTAAGTGCGAAGAGAGTACAAAGAAAAAGAATTTAAAAGAAATATTAACCTAAGCTATATATTTTAGTTTTAAAAAAAAAAAAATAGCTTTTCAGTTGACTTGAATCCAAACATGGAATAAAATTTTTTTTTATCAAAAAAATAAAAAAAAAAGAAGCCCAATTAATTATAAATGCAATTTGATTCATTTTCCCTTTAATTCTTTAACTTAAATAATTTGGGATTAAATCAGTGCTGTTGATGAGTGAGAGTTTCAATCGAATTATAAAAAAATTTTTTAATTTGAATTTTTTTTTTAAAAAAAAAAAAAAAAAAGAACCCAATTAATTATAAATCAATTTGATTCATTTTCCCTTAATCTTAACTTAATATTTGGATTAAATCAGCTTAATTATTAAGTTTCAATCGAATATAAAAATTTTAATTAATTTTTCTAGTAAAATTAAAACTTCCAAAAATCAAATTGAATTTTTCAAAAAAAAACAAAGGAAAAATCACATTGAACCAACCGGATGAATCCAATTCCATCGATTTTATCCAAACTGCCCCGCCCTAGGGGCACCCCACTGGCGCGCTAGCTAGTTGAGGAGAAAAAATGAAAGAGGAAAAGCAAAAGCTGCTTACAAGGCTAATTAAAGTCTATAGAAATGTCCTCTTCTTGAAGATTTGTCTAAAGTTGCTTTGTGGAACAGTGTTATTCAATCTTCACCGAAAGAGCAAAAGATTCTATCCCCACCTATAATTAATAAAACTGAAAACGACACCGAATAAATCCGGCTTACGAAGATAACAACCGATTTGGAAACACAAGTTTCTCAAACAAAAATTATCTTATTTTCTTGATATTTATATACTTCATTGTATGATTTTATTTCATTAACGGCTAATTGTGCAATCTTGCTCTGTCAAGCATTTGATCAAACTAATAGGTGATCTTGGGTCTTCTCAACTGTAAAAACTAGCTCAAGAGGTGAGGGATAACCCAACAATCTCTCCCTCACACATCGGGCCATGGGTCGGAGGAGCAACAACCCGTACTTTCCTGGAAATTGGGCTGAGATTGCAGTAACCTGGGCTTTAATACCAGAGATAGGTGATCTTGGGCCTTCTCAATCCCAAAAGTTAGCTCAAGAAGTGAGGCTTTTCCTCACACTTATAACTTTAATCACCAGCCTCTTCCACAACCGACATGGGATAACCCAACACAAACAGTTCACCAGCTGTTTTTTCTTTCTCCAGAAAATTAAATAATCTGATACTTAAAAAACTCAAATTCACTTGATTATAATCAATTCTAAAGCAACTGATGAACAAATTCACCTTGTTCATGTATTGAATCACAGTGTACTAAAGAGTTAAGAGGCTATTAAAGTTTCCAAGTTAAGACATAAAAGAAAGGAAAGGGAAAGTACCTGTAGCTGTGGAGGTATTTAGCAGTGGAAGTGCATGCAGAGGAGGAAGAAGAAGATGAAGCTGCAAGAATATTACCATTGTGGCAAAGAGGGAAAATTTGAATTTCTTGAACCCCATTTCATTTCCTTTTGTAAACCCACAAGAAGATATAAATAATAGGCTTGTATTCCTTTTATTCTGCATCAGTAGTGTAGTGATGAATTATGAGCGGGTTTCCCTTTGTTTTCTAAGAGAACATAGATTTCTCTCGTACATAGATTTTGGTTTCCAGAAAATGATGATGATGTTAAATAGGCAATAAAGTTGCTTTGCTTATGTTTGGATAGCAATTCAGGGAGAGAAGAAAATGTGGACTGAAAATAAAGAGGAAAAATTTTAAAGAATTTTTCGTCTCATATATGGGAAGTTCGAAAGCAAAATTAAAAAAAAAATGTGCCTTCTTGAGATTAAGGGTGTTATTTTAAGAGCTTACTTGCCTAGATCTAATAGATAGTCACGCTTATGAATTAAACCAATTAATATTTTTTAAAAAGTGTTGGAATTTATCTTTTTTTTTTTCTCAGTGTATGGTCAAAAATACCTTTATTTGAATAAAAAATTTTATTCTTATTGGTTTAGTATATGAGTGAAGCAATAAACTCGATTTAAGTAAAATTTTTCCATCATTTTATATTAATGGAGTTATCTACTTGGACACCTAGTATGACACGGTAATCCCTCTTTAATTCACAACTATACAAAATTGGAATGGGAATTAGAATTGAATTCCATTCTATCTATGGTCAAGGATGAATCAATAAAGCTTCTCATCACTCCCTGTGAGTGTATTTAGTAGAGATTGAATTTGAGATTTCTTCTAATATATTCGGCCTGCGTTATCAACTGAGCCACAACTCGTAGGTTGTATTTTAAAAATTATTTCTTAGATGTTAGTCTCAAAAATTAAAACATATATATGTTCCAAACTCATTTAATCAATACTCAAATATGCTCTAAATGGATTGTTGTGGGTTCAGGTACCCATGAAAATCGACCCGTTCCATCCCTAGTGCTACTCCTTTTTAATCAAAATGATACAATACTGAAACTGGAGCTTAGTCTCTCCTATATCAACATCTACATCAGTTTCTTTATTTCATTGCTAACATTTTGTGTTTCTTTTTAGATGTCTTGTAGAGATGAAATACCTACAACCCTTCAATTGAATATACACGTGCACCTATACAGAAATGAGAGAGCCAGTAAACAAAGATTTTCATCGTACCATGACCATAGATTTAGGTTTCCAACAAAAAGAACATAGTACAAAGTTGCTTGGAAAAAAAAAACCAGGGAATAAGAATTGAATTCTTTTCTATTCTAGTTCTATTGGGCAAATGATAAATAAAATTTCTAAGCTTTAAATATTTTTAATAGTTTCAACCTTTTTTTTTTTAATTTTAGCAATTAATATCTCAAATTTATTTTATCATTATAATTATAATATAAGTTCCTATTCAAAATTGTTTATCTAATTATTAAGCATGGTGAAATGAGCGATATCATGTCATTAGGTCACTCCCACTCTTATTATTTTTAAATTTTTTAAGTTTATAATAAATAAGATATAAATTCAAAAGTTAAAAATAAGTAGCTTCAAATTTTCTTGTAATATATACTTTAATTTTTAAAAAAATATATATATATATATACTTTAATTTGATATATTCAATTAAAAAGATAATTATTTTATTATTTAATTTATTGATTTTCCTAATTAATAAATTAATACCAAAATAAATGTGATTCTAACAAAAACTATAAAATTTCATCTACAATTGCGATTCTCCCTCTACCTTCCATACCTAATCGAAGAATCTCTAACCAACAAGCAGCTAGCAATCTTAACCATCAACCCCTTTTTTTTTTTTTTTTCACCAACAAGCAGCTAGCAATCTTCTAACCATCAACCTTTTTTTTTTTTTTTTTTTTTTTTTTTTTTTTCCTTTCATGAAAGGTAGCATCTTATAAATTATTCAAATCTTAATGAAATACATCCATTAGATGACATTGCATGATAATATATGCTATATGAAGTTGTGTTGGACCCCATTAGCAAAGTTTTTTTTTTTTTTTCCAGATACATAGGAGGGCGAAAACCCAGAGAAGGATCCTAAGACATAAGCCATCTTACACGTGGCTAAGCCACCCCCTTCAATATCTCACCAAAGGGAGCGTACAACCTTAGAAGCGGGACGATCGAGAATATGCCGCCAATATCTACAATCATAGATTAAGCAATTTATGTACAACCTGATTCACTTCCCAATAGCGATGTTGGATCCAGAGATCCCAATTCCAAGTCATAAGAGCCTGATGTTGAGCAACAATATTTGCAAAATCGATATTAGAATAATTACTAGCAACAACCAAATATTTAGAAATTAAATAATCAATTTCAACTACAACTTGCCTATAACCCATATCTCATGCCAAAGAAATGCCAACTAGGGATTGAAGCTCAGCTTCCATAAAGGTACAAGTACCCGAACAAAACAATAAACCTCTACACCATCTCCCACAATTATCAAGGATTACCTTGCCGCCGCCACTAGGACTAGGATTTCCTCTCGATGCTCCGTCTATGTTAAGCTTCACCAAGAAGGAGCAATACAAGAATTACCAACAACACTCCTCTGAAAATGAGTAGCTGAAGTGAAATTAGCTTCCCAGGCACTAATAACATTCCTCATCTAAAACCGCAACAAACCCATTTTTTGAATTTCAATATGTGTGATTTTCTTTAGAAAATAAAAACATTCCTCCATCTCCAAAGCCACCACACAACAATACTCATTACTTAAATTGTAGAAACATTAGGAAAAATAGGGCTATACAGTAAAGAAGCAATAGTAAACCAATCCTATAACAACCGACCACAAGAAAAAGTACGTTGAATTTTGATTCTAAATACAATTCCAAACTTACTTTGCAAAACAACAATCCTGAAGAACATGTTCAATGGTTTCAACCCTTGCATTACAAACATCACAACTAGAAGTCATAGTAAAAGCACGTCTATGTGGCTCATGATTAGTCATGAACTAATCACAAGAAACATCGGACAAGTTGAGGAACCTTAATATGCCATAAACATTTCCAATTAATAGCAGACATATCAAAATCTTCCTGCTTGATAATACAAAATAACAAAATATACAAAAATAATATATAAACATGTACGTATAATAGGAGATTCCTAAACAAACTCTAACTACCAGATAATAAAAGATTCTCAATATTCTTATCATAATATAATTATTCCTCTCCTAATATATTAATAGGAGACTTCCTAAAAACAACTCTATTTACTACCAGATAATCTAAAAGATTCTTCTAATTATTCTCTTATACATAATATAATTATTCCTCTCCAAATATATTATAATTAATATATATTTATATTATATATAGATATATATATATTAATTTATATATACTACTTTATATAATCGTTTATATAGACACACACACATTATATATATATATATATAGACACACACACATTAGGAGGCAAATTCTCAATTCTCTCAATTCTCAATTTCTGATAACTAACAATTGGTGTGGTAAGCGTGGAACATACCTTTGACCCCCATTATTCTCAACCTTTTTCATCTTGAACACCATGGCTAATGAATCCATTGAAGGCCCTAATATGGACGGTCAAGACAACAATCATGGAGACGCAGTTGAATACACCATAATACCTCCATAAACAATCGACTCTCAAGTGGCAGCAACCATAGCACAAGCACACGCGCAGTCTGCCAATGTGCCGAAACGCCTCCTTAAGGCTCCCCATCCAGGCGGCTAATGAAAACCCCACAGGCGAGCCAACTAACCAGCGTCACAAGGAGCACAACGCACCTTTGCCATCCTAGAAGACAAAGCCACCCCGCATCTAAATAGTTCCATGAGGCGAAGTCGGAGGCAAACCTCAGTATGGTCGCTCCTTATAGTTAAGGCCCGAGCCACACACAGCCAGTTATAGACAATGCCAATCTTCGAAATGTCATCAAGGAATTGTTCAAAGAGTGCAGGAAAATAGGGGATGTAGGAGATTACAGTCTCAATGAGGACTCCCCCTTGTCAATAAATATCTTGGGGACGGCATTCCCCCAAAATTCAAAATTCCAATTTTCCAACTCTATGACGATCCACCGATTCTCGAAGTCACTTAACGACTTTTCGAACCATGATGTACTTACAAACTAACTCTGAAGATTTTATGTGCAAAGTCTTTCCAAGCATACTGAAGAGTGTAGCCTTAGAATAATATCAAACTCTCAAAATAGGATTCATCCACTCATTCTCCCAACTGGCTACAGTATTTCGAGCTCGGTTCATAACAAGTGTGTCGTCCAGGAAAATCCCATCTGACCTAGTAGACCGAAAGAGGGAAGATGGCGAGACGTTGATACAGTATGTTTTCTGATTTTAGAGAACAGCGATGCAGGTTGAAAACCTAAACGAAGAAGTGGCAATTAATGCTATGGCGAAGAACTATAAATATAACAAGCTATTTGAGAGTTTGATTATAAATCCTCATGTAACTTTTGTAGAACTCATGGCTCGAGCTCACAAATACATAAAGCTGAACAAAGCCTACAAACCTCAACACCGAAGTTCGCCTAAGAAAGAAAAGCCAAGACATAGAAGACACCCTTCCCAATCAAGAGGCATTCGCCCAGGAAGAGATTGCCTCTCCGGCATTCATGAGCTAGCTATGCTGTTAGAGCACCTTATCAAGAGAAGGTAGATCACAATAAGACTGAAATTTCAGCCCTTGAACAAACCATGCTCGAAAATATTATTTTGGGTAAGGGATCACAGAAATAAGATTCAACTCAATTATTCCAAAAAGATGAAACAAGATACCGTAGGCTATCGAGACGAGAACATATACTAAGAGTTTCATAGGGACTTCAGCATTGAAATTGAGGCTTGTTGGGAATTGAAAAAGGAGATTGAATGCCTCATATAAAGAGGCGAACTAAAAGAGTTTGTTAGGCAAGTTTGGAAAAAAACTGAGAGGAAAGAAAATAGGTATGATAGTCCAATACTTTAGGCACAATTCACACAATATTTGGAGGCTCCTCGGGCGAAGATAGCAACTCAGCAAGAAAAAGAAGAGCTAGAGAAATCTATTATGTCCTACCCCAACCAAAATTAACCACGAGACCACCAATCTTATTTTTCGAGGCAGATGACGAACATGTAAATATCCCACACAATGATGTTTTGGTAATAGAAGGGATCTTAGTACATGATGGCAGGGTAGTTAACTTATTGACTATGGAAGTTTTCAGAGCCTTGAAAATGGACCAGGCGAAGCTGAAACCTGTCCGAAC